ACCACGACTACGACGAAGCCACCAAAGGAGTTCCACAGCCGGTCCGAGAGCAGCGAAAGACCGATGGAGCCCTTGTGCGATGTGGCCGAAAGGGTCATCTTTGGAAATGGTGTCGTTCAGATGCTAATAGCAGTGCATCTATCTCCTCTCTCTCCCGAAAGCGTACCCGCGATGACGATGGCGACCACGATATGGAACCACCGGAACCCCAACCTCAGAGAAAACGAATGAGGCACCGTGCTAGGAAGCCGGCGGCGACAGCTGCTGCGGAGTACACCAGTGGGCAAGCGTTTGTACGAGAACGCGGATCGGAATCGGAAATGGATTTCGATGAGGATTTTTAAAAGGGGACTCTGATGAGTCAGGTCAGGAGTATCCCCAGATTGCTATGTTATCACTGACGGAAAACAACAAAAAAAATATGAAAAGAAAAAGGCAGGAAGGGAGAGCGTCCCAACCAGAGAAAAAACAGAAAATTTTGGAGGAACCTATTCACGGTCCTCGACCTATCGTTAATCAGTTCCTTTGTTTTGCGGAAAAATGTTTACCTTGTAAGGTGTTGTTGGATACTGGTGCAACTGGTCCTGGTTTGTCTGCTGTTTTTGTTGATAGTTTTGAGGTCCCGAAGGTGAAACGAGACGTCCCGGCCCGGGTATTTGGATTTACGGGAGAAGTTATGAAGGGCACGGGACACGCCTTTACACAACCATTAATTATAATGTCAAGGGGGCATCAAACACAGTTGTCATTCGAGATCGCCCCTCTCCCGGTTGGCATTGATGCAATATTACCGAACTGGTGGTTGAAAGAACACAAGCCGGTTATAGGGGCAGAAGGGGAAGTTTCCTATGATGGCGAGAACTGCAAGAGTCGATGCTTCACTGACAAGGAACCTCACATAGAAATGGACGAGGGTGTATTAGACGATCCGGAGGCCCAATTCATCGGTAGTATTTGTCTTTTGGAAGATGAATCGGTCAACCTCCGCGAAACTCTTCCCTCTTGGCTCCATGGGTTCCTTAAAGTCTTCCTACCATCGGAAGCAGACAAATTACCACCGCATCGATCTTACGACCACGCGATAGATCTCGAGCCAGAAAAGCAGCCACCATGGGGACCCGTCTACTCCCTATCCGAAGTCGAACTGAAGGTGCTTCGGGAATACCTAGATAAAATGTTGCGATTGGGAAAGATTAGGCCAAGCAAATCCCCGGCAGGAGCCCCAATCCTATTTGTGAAGAAGAAGGACGGTAGTCTGCGACTTTGCGTTGACTACCGTGGACTTAACCGTGTGTCCATCAAGAACAGGTATCCGTTACCGCTTATGGACGAGCTGCGAGATCGAGTGGCAGGCGCGGTTATCTTCTCGAAGATTGACCTGAAGGAAGGTTACAACCTCATCAGGATCAAAGACGGCGACGAGTGGAAGACAGCCTTTCGTACGCGGTACGGGCATTTTGAGTACCTCGTCATGCCTTTTGGGCTGGCAAATGCGCCGGCGACCTTCCAGAACATGATGAATGATGCGCTGAGGGAATTCTTGGATCAAGGGGTAGTAGTATACCTTGATGATATCCTAATATATAGCAAGTCTCGAGAGGAACACAGGGAGCTGGTCGGCAAAGTACTTAGCAGGCTACAAGAATACAACCTGGTCGCCAACCCGAAGAAATCATTCTTCGAGCTCACCGAAATCGAGTTTCTCGGATACATCCTTGCCCCAGCAGGTGTCACCATGGCACTGGATAAGATCATGTCTGTTACGAATTGGCAAGCCCCGTGCAGCGTTAAAGAAGTACAGATCTTCATGGGCTTTGCCAACTTCTACAGAAGGTTTATCCACAATTTCTCCGGGGTCTGTAAACCCATTACCGATTGTCTCAGGGGTGATGCTAAGAACTTTGTCTGGTCTATGACGGCCCAAGCAGCCTTCGAAAAACTCAAAACCCTGTTTACGTCTGCGCCGATCTTGGTACACTTTTCTCCAGATCGCCAGACTATCGTGGAAACGGACGCAAGTGATTTTGCTATCGCCGCAATTCTATCCCAGGTTATTGACGGAAAGACTCACCCTGTTGCCTTTTATTCTCGAAAGCTTAACCCAGCGGAACTCAACTACAACGTCTGGGATAAGGAGATGCTAGGAATTGTGTCAGCCTTCAAGCAATGGCGTCACTACCTCGAAGGACCTAGCCGAACGGTTCTCGTCTATACGGATCACAAGAACTTGGAATATTTTTCAACAACCAAGGTTCTTAACCGACGACAGGCAAGGTGGGCTGAGTCTTTGGCGGAATTTGACTTCAAGATTATTTACCGCCCGGGAACCAAAAATGGGAAGGCAGATGCACTATCGCGACGGCCGGAGTACCGTCCTGAAGGGGGAGGCACGCTTGGGAAACAGCCGATAGACAGGTTCTTTAAGCCCGGACAGTTGGCGGAGGAAGAGTTTGTGGTATCAGCGGTGTCGCTTGCCTCCAAGGGGGTGATTGACTGGTCCAAGAACTTTCTGGATCATGTCCGGCAGGCGGCATCGGGAGACCCGACATGGGTAGGATTGAGAGAGAGAGTTGAGCAAGGGGAGAAGCTGGGGGAACTGAAGGATATCGCTGAGAAAGACGGGCTACTCTTTTATAAGAACCGACTCTATATTCCGGCAGACGACCGTATTAAGATCCGAATCGCACAGGCAGAACACGATTCGAAGGTGGCAGGACACTTTGGACAAGATAAAACTTTGGAACTCATCACGCGTAACTTTTATTGGCCAAAAATGAACGAGTGGATTGATGATTACGTTCGGTCATGTGACGAGTGCCAGCGCAACAAACCCAGCCGCCATAAGAAATACGGTGCGCTTCTACCACTGTCCACGCCACATTCTGTCTGGCAATCGATATCAATGGACTTCGTCGTTCAGTTACCGGAATCAAAGGGATACAACCAAATTTGGGTAGTAGTCGATAGGTTCTCGAAGATGTCGCATTTCATCCCCCTAGTAGCAGAAACGACCGCGCAGGATTTAGCGAAGATATTCCTCGGTCAAATCTGGCGACTCCATGGGCTGCCTCTCGACATAGTTTCCGACAGGGACGCTAAGTTTACTTCAAGCTTTTGGGCATCCCTTATGGAATTATTGGATGTGAGAATCAGAATGAGTACGGCTTTCCACCCTCAGACCGATGGGCAAACAGAGCGAGTCAACCAAACCCTCGAGCACTACTTACGAGCCTTTTGTAACTACGAGCAAGACGATTGGGCAGAGCTACTCCCGTTGGCGGAGTATGCTTACAACAACTCGGTTACCACCGCCACGGGCCAATCTCCGTTCTATACCAATTACGGTTACAACCCAAGAACCAACTGGCCGACGGAAGCTGAAGTGGTCAACCCAACCAGTGACCTGTATGCTCACTTTATCCGAGGAGTTCATGATTCCGCTCTCGCTCGCTTAACAGACACCAGGGAGAAGATGGGGAAATACTATGATCGGAAAAGGGACGAACCGCCTAACTTCAAGGTGGGAGACATGGTTATGCTCAATGCGACCAACATCAAGACTCGTCGCTCTACCAAGAAACTCGATCATAAGAAACTCGGCCCGTTCAAAATTGTCCGACTAGCCGGTAAACGAGCCTGCGAACTGGAACTGCTACCGCAAGTCAAAATCCATAACGTGTTCCATATTGAACTCTTGGAACGTTACCGACAGAGCAGTATACCAGGCCGCGAACAACGTCCCCCAACTCCCGAAGAGGTCGATAAGGAAGGAGAGGTTTTGTACGAAGTGGAAAGTATTGTGGGAAGCCGAAAGAGCAGAAAGGGATTAGTAGAATACCTGGTGAAATGGCGGGGCTATTCGATGAGCGACTGTACTTACCAAGTCACGGACGTTATGAACGAGGAAGTACTTGATCTAGTCCGCGACTTTCATCGAAGAAACCCCAAGGCTGTGAAGGACCAACGCCTGAGACTATAGAGGTACCCCACGGGGCTAAGTCCTTCCCCTCCACAGACACCGCGGGTGATATGTGGAGCAGGTTTACTGGAACCATAGTCTGTCAGAAGATGTCCCGAGACGTGACACCCTGGAAGGGGGGTAAGCTGTTACGGGCATGCCAAGCATTTACGGGAGTAAGAGAAAGGCTAGTAGATACCCCTATACCCTTTAATACTAATGGCAACACCACTATCAACTCCGGTTCGCACCTACGAGGTACGGTGCGATCAATATGCGACCAAATGCGGAGTTGCGGTTTTCCTAGTTAAAAAAACACGTTTTCGACCCCAATAATAACCCCCGGAGCGTCAAACCGCCGGAGGGGAGTGTTTTGGTACCGGTGGATATATGAGGGACAGCTGGAATCAATCGGATCGAAGATCGGACCGCTCGGAGCGAATCGGCGCAAGCTGCCAGCCCACCAAGTACCTATCGGCGGTACCTGTGGGCATGAGAGGACTCTGCTATGTGGGAAAGCGATGTGGGAAGAGGCCTGAGTAGGTAGCCTTGCCGTCCGAGACCTCCGAAGAGCCGACGCTGACGATTATCCACCAGACGGCTGATGGAGAAGAAACATCGACAGGGAAACGTGCATTAGAGTGGACAAATAGGTTGAGGGGTTTCAGCGGCTTTAGGAGTTTGGGTTACGGACTTAGGAGTTAAATGTTCTTGGTTGTTTTTCAGGGTCTCGGGCATGCCCCGAGCGTATTCTGTATTATTATTAGATTGGGTCCTCGAGACATAAGCGAGGGACATAAATACTGTGTCATTCACTGACTAGCCAAACTATCATCGGCGAAATCAGAGTCTTAACAATATAAATCGTTGATACGCGAGTTACAACTTTATTTGACTATACTTTTGGAAATACTTTATTCTATTGTGACTTCGAATTCTACCTGAACTATTACGTCGAAGATGGTCGAACATCACACGCTAACTCTAGTGAATCTTTGTTGATAACGTAGCTCGCGGGGCCCGTATCGGATCAAGGAGAATTCTACTCGACGTTGACTGAAGAGACCTTGGAGACTTCTACCTTTGTAGCTGTTAGCCGAACTCTGAGCTCTGCGTAGTGTACTCTTGTGGTCTGGTACGCATCCCTCACATCTACCTCTTGTAAATCCGTTGCGTATTGGATAAGACCATTTTGACACTGTTGAAGAAGCGCATAGGCTTCAGCTCCGACAACGTGATTGACCTGTGGATGCGCTTCAAAAAATCTTTGGAGATTATCATTGAGTTGTTGATAATCGACATGGACATGTTCCGACATTGTAGACTATGGTGTTGTATTGGTTGGCGATAGAGGACGCAACCTACGTATCGCGGGGGTTATAGGCAATAGACGGTGGTGCCAAGGAATACAACCTAGGTAGTAACGTAGACGTGAACGTAGACGTAAAGGTATGCTTTGACTATGGACTATGGGGTGGCTCTGCCTGGTATGATAAACCGGTTGGAGCCCTATGACGTAATGCGGACAAAGAATAGTATTCGTGGAATAAATACAGAGGTTGCGTAAAGAGGAAAAGAAGAGAAGGAAAACAGATAAAAGCACAAAACAACGCCCCCTTATATATCCAACCATAGTCCAATAATGACTAATATCTCCGTGTAACAGAAACTAAAAGAACATAACAGAAATCCCCATTACAAATCCTAATACCACCACACAATACCTCCTTTCCTCGTTCCAGTCTATCACCTAGTCAAAGATACATAGCTGCCGTTACATTATTCCTGAAGGGCATAAACTCATTATTCCAGTCACTCATGATGAGTGCACATGCAATGCCAACGATGGCCCTCATTATCAATGGGTAAGAGGCGATCATATACCATTGAGAAGCAAATCTAGGGGACAGGGTATACATATTTCCGAATTTGTTACTCCATGGGGGAGATTGAGGGTAGATGAGAAAAATATGTCAGATGGGGACCTTATCAAATATGGCTTGCATAAGAGAGAGGCAACCGAAATTATTCAATGTGGAGGAGCTATATGGTGGGATCAGGAAAAAATAGTGCAGCAGACATTAACAGCTATAACTATTTTCGAAGCAGCGCATCCCGGTTGCTGTGCATTATTCCTCTTTGATAATGCAACTAGTCATAATGCATTTGCTTCAGATGCATTGAGAGGGACAAAAATGAATAAAGGGCCAGGGGGGTCACAACCACATATGAGAGACGGGTGGTATATGGATAAAAACGGAGTCAGAATGGTTCAGAAGATGTGTTATGGACAGAGGGAGAGAAAAATCCCGAAATCATTATGGGGAGAACCTAAAGGTTTAGAAGTCATTTTAAAAGAAAGAGGCTTATGGCCCAAAGAGGGCCTATATCTGGACTGCACTCAACGGAATAATGTCCCCAAAGAGCAGAGAAAACACTCTGAAGCAGTAGCCAATTGCTGTGCCCGCAAACTCATATCTCAACAACCAGATTTTCTGTCACAAAAAGGCAGAGTTCAAGAAGTAGTAGAGGGTAGAGGACACAAAGTTTTATTCTACCCTAGATTCCATTGCGAGCTCAATTGGATTGAGTACTTCTGGGCTAGGGTAAAGCTGTATACCCGAAATAATTGTGGTTATGATATAAAGTCTCTTAGAGAAAATGTACCCCTAGCACTCATATGGGCATCAGATTTGATACCCAAATGGTGGAGCAAATCGTTGAGAATTATGGATACATATAGGGCGGGAGTTATATATGGTACTGAAGAGTTCAGAGTGAAAGCTTATAAGAGTCACAGGAGGGTTACTAGTAGTAAAATATAATTTCTTGTAGTCTTACTATAGGTGCAAAAAATATCAAAAAATAAACTTGGAGCAATTTGATGAACGGTACCTCCAATTACATACTAAACTCTCTAAGAATCCCTACTGAAAATCCGGAATCATTTGGATCTATATTCATAATGCTAGTACAGTTTAAAAAATCTTCCGTAATAGTACCAAAATGACCAAAAATTAAACTCAAGGAATTTCTTGCTCGAAAGTCTCTATTTTAGCGGACACACCACAAGATCCCACGTTTAAAATCTGGCGAATTTAGGAGCATTATTCATAAAGTTAAAAAATATTTTGTATTTCATGTATTGATGGTCGTTGACCACTTGAAAGTCTTGGCGTTCCAACCCGTTGTCATGGCGGTACACCTTTAAGACCAGCCGCACCATACATGGAAAAAGACCTATACTGAAGGCAGGACTGTCATGGACAGTCAAAGGAAAAGATGAAGGTGCCCAACGGTCTTTCCTGTTTGACACCGGTTGTACAGGAGCAATCCTCAACCAGAGTTTTGTCAGGAAGCATGGAATTCCCTTAGTGCGGCGGGATCAACCTCTGACAATGTTTGATGCTCAAGGAGATGTCATGATGGGACGAGGCGAGTATTACACTCACCCGGTCCGCATGATTATGGGAGATCATAAAGAGACGCTCCGATGGGAAGTGGCTACTTTGGAAGAAGGAATGACCGGTTACCTGCCAATTAGTTGGGCTAGGAAGAATAACCCGGATATCAACTGGGAACTCAACACCATGAGCTGGAGGAGTGACTACTGCAAACAGAATTGTCTCCCAGCGGCCACCCAGATTGAACTGATCTCTCCATACCAAATGTTGGAAGAGGAAGAGACAGTCTATCAATTGGTTGGTTCAGTATGGCATGATGAGGACGGAGGTGATATTGCTGAGAAAATACACCACCTATACCGGGATTGGGCTGATGTGTTCAGTCAAGAGAAGATTGAGGAAATGCCGCCGCATTCCCATAATGATTTGAAGATCAAACTCTTGCCTGGCACCGCTCCCCCATTTGGCCCGCTGTACCCATGTTCCGCTCCAGAGTTGAAGGCCCTCCGAGAGTACCTGGACAAAGAATTGTCTTCAGGAAAGATCTCTAGGTCTAACAGCCCTGCTGCGGCGCCCATACTGTTTATTCCTAAGAAGGATGGGACATTGCGGATTTGTGTGGACTATAGAGGATTGAACAAGGTCACTGTCAAGGACAAGTACCCGCTGCCTATCATGAGTGAGCTCAGGGACAGGTTGTTCAAGGCCAAGATCTTCACAAAGATAGACCTGAAGAACGGCTTCAATTTGATCAGGATAGCAGAAGGTGATGAGTGGAAAACCACTTTCAGAACCCGCTATGGACTGTATCAGTATAATGTGATGCCATTTGGTCTATGCAATGCTCCCTCCGCTTTCCAGGCAATGATCAATGATGTGCTAAAGGAACTACTGGATGAAGGAGTAGTTGTCTATATTGATGACATCCTCATCTACTCGGAGACTGAGAAAGAGCATGAGCTATTGGTCAAGAAGGTACTACAGAAGCTTAGGGAAGCTAAGCTCTGTGCCTCGATCAGTAAGACATCCTTCCATGTCCGAGAAGTAGAGTATCTAGGCTATCACATCTCGGAAGAAGGAGTATCTATGTCAGAAGATAAGGTGGAGGCAGTTAAGGAATGGCCGGTCCCTGAGAATATCAAGGCAGTACAGGCATTCCTCGGATTCGCAAACTTCTATCGCCGCTTTATTGAAGGCTTCAGTAAGGTTTGCAAGCCATTAACTGACCTCCTGCAAAAAGACAAGAAATGGTATTGGACGGCAGTACATGAGCAGGCCTTTGAAGAACTCAAGAGGCTGTTCACAAGTGCTCCAATCCTCCTTCATTTTGACCCTAGTAGGAGAACGGTGGTCGAGACAGATGCCAGTGATTTTGCCAAGGGAGCGGTGCTCTCTCAGTATGGGGACGATGGGAAGCTACATCCGGTGGCATTCTATTCCAAGAAGTTCTCCCCTGCTGAGATCAACTATGACATTCATGATAAGGAAATGGGAGCTATTGTAGCCTCTTTCTGGGAATGGGAACACATGTGTAACGGAGCCATTTCAACTGTCTGGTGTATGAGTACACACAGGGCCCGGTTACATGCTGAGAGTTATTGTTAGAAGCCAGTTGCACGGTGATATGCAAGTACCGGCAGTGTGGTTAGCTACCAGCTGTTAGAGTAACTACATTCCGGGCGCTAGGAAGGGGACCTATTCATGGGAGCAATGACTGACGAGTCTATGCTTCGCCAGTGACTAGAAGACCGGCCAGAGTGAAGCTCTGATTGTCCGGTGATCCTCTGTATCCTCCGAGCATTGTAAGTCCGCCGAAAGGCAGGGACTATGCTAGGGAAGTCTACAATAAGCGAAAGCTCTACAGCAATGATTAAGCTTACACCTGAGCGCTAGCTCATTCATGCAGGTCCTCGGTTGTGTGGCAACCAAGGCTGCAGGTGTTACAAAGGCTTTGACTAAGGGTGGTTGCCTTGGGTATCGGAAAACACCCGCTGACGCTTAGAGAAAAGCGGGGTAGCGGTGGTATTGTTTCCGGTACTGAGGAGAGGCCCACCGGAACTTAGTAAGGAGTTAGGAGCAGAGAATAGAGGCCTTCGGAGTATAAGTACTCAGGTTCATTCTCGCCCTTCAGTCCTATTCTCTCGAGTCTTCATCAGAAAGAAAAACAAAAGTTCTTATCGGTAGCAGAGCCCTTAAAGATTATTGAGTTCTAGCGATAGTATCTTTGAATAATCTGCAACCTGATTGTCTATCTTGCACGGCCGTCTCTATTCTATACAAATCTATTTCTCTTAGAAAGGACCCCCGTTACAGATAATCTTTAAGGCTCAAGTCACCTTCAGATTATTCTTCCTATATACAAAAATGTCCGCCCTCTCAGCTCCGGATGCGCCCCTGCAGATTGAATGGCAGCCGGTGCCCCTCCAGCTTGATGCCACTGGGCAGACACAGCTTGTCAAGAAGCCCAGGACCGCTTTACAGACCTACATCCCCGGTTGCGAGCCTGCTTGGCAGGATACCGACGAGATTTCCGTCCAGCAGTTCTTCACAGAGCTTCAGACCTACCTCCAGCACAGCCTGCAGAATCAGTTGACCCGGGGCAGTCAGGCCCTACTCATTGTACAAGAGCGCCAGGCAGCACAGAATGCTCTGATGGCGGAAGCTCTTGAGTACATGAGAATGGAGGTCAACTCTGTTCAGGAAGAACTCCGGAAGTATGTGGAGAAAGATGAGCTGAATGCCGATGCCATGGAGATTGAGTGGACAAACCCGGCTACTCCACCGGACTTTGTGGCCGAGATACAGAAAGCCCTTGATGAAGGAAGACTGGTGGTGGCCAGACCAGCAACTCCGGCACCAAATCCAGTCTCCAGGTCCTCTTCCAGAGCAGCTACCAGGACAATGCAGCGGAAGGCCAGCCCCTTTGCAGCATTTCCGGTCAGATCCACTAGGAGAGTTATTCCTATTGTGCAGCCAGCGGTGGGAGCTTCACCCTTACCACCTAGCCGCTTCGGTGGGGTACACCCACTCCTTGGAGGAACTGACCGATCCTTTGACTATGAAGGAGAGTTCTTCTCAGGTGCAGGCCGAGGACCTCCCAGTCCACTAGCCAGGAACCCGGGAAGGTTCACCATGTCTGGGGCCGCTCAACCAGCAGCAACCTCACCTTTGGCCAGCAATCCGGCACCAGTAGCACCTGTGGCCCCTCCTGCTGCGGCCGCCGCTCCCCCTCCAGCTCAGGCACAGGGAGGAAGTGGTGGAAATCAGAACCCTCCACCCCCAGCAGCCCGCGCTCCCGCTCCAGGAGATTCAGACAGTTCAGACTCGGAACCAGAAGGTGGTGATAGGAGAGGATGGCGGAGATATCTTAAGAAGAAGTTGGAGAAGCAACAGAAGGACTTGTTTGCTATTATGTCCCAGCAGTATCAACCTCCGGCCACCTCCCACCCTTCTACTTCCACTAGGGCCAGAGAACCAAAGGCACCACCACCTTCCAAATTCCAGGGCAAAGCGGAGCAAGTGGAGACCTTCATCCGGCAATGTGAGAATGTGTTCTCCATTGAGAGCCTGTCATTTACCTCTGAGGAGGTTAAGATCCGATATGCAGGCAACTTGATGGAAGGTGAGGCAGCGATCCGATGGTATGAGGCATACCACAATTCAATTGATCAAGCCTCTGCCAACCGTCTTGCTGGAATACCGGTGCAGTTGGATCAGAGATGGAAGCATTGGGATTCCTTTGTGGATGCTTTTAGAGCTGCCTTCGGTGAAGCCATCTCTAGAGATGATGCTGTAGCCCAATGGAATACCCTCACCCACACAGCTCGAGGAGGAATAGACCTCTTCCTGAATACTATCATTCAGCTGATGTGGAAGACTGGCTATGAGGGTCAGTTGGTGGATGATAAGATTCATAATTCCCTCCTCCCGGACCTAGGTATGAGTTGGGCTCTTTTTAATCCCAAGCCAAAGTCCTTGATGGAGCGGATAGCTGCTCTAAGAGAGTTAGGGCACACCCATGAGAGGTACCAAGGGATGGCAGCTGAGAAAGCGCACCCTCGGACCAAGAAAGATCCTCCCGCTCAGAAGGACCAGCAGCCTAAGAGGAAAAGAGAAGCTGCGAGCTCCTCTGGACCTCAGAAGACTCCTGGACCTAAGGACAAAGCGGTGGAACTGAAGGGTATCCCGGGGGATATTCTAGAAGAAAGAAGGAAAGCAGAAGTATGCTTGAAGGTATGACCTTCCGGTACTCCCTATTGGTAGAGTGCATAGACTGACTTGTGCAATAGTGCGGCAAGTCCAGACACAAATGGACCGATTGTTGGTCCAAGGAACCTACTGTTGTTCGAGTAGCAGCAGTGAGGGTACAAAAGCGGAAAAGAGGGAATGGCAAGTCCAACTCTCAGAAGAAGGCTAAAGTGGCTGCTGTAGTAGCAGAGGATCCACTTATTGTACTCCCGGAGGTTACGGAAGATTTTGTTTTGCAGCCTGAGCAAGACTCGGACAATGAAATCCTCTGGTAGAAAAGTGTCTGTTTGGGTCTATGTTTACTAGTTTTCTTTTATATGGGATTTGGGTTTCTATGTTTCTCTTGAATAAATTATGATTGTGTTTCCGCCTATTTGATTGCTCCAAGCACTCTGAGGATGGGTTTAAGACCCGAAACAGCTGGTCTGTCAGTGCTCTACCAAAGTTACATTTGCTACAAAGACACTTCCAAACCGCTACCAAAAAATTACCACACATCATACCCGCTATATTACCGCTTGGGAATAGAACCAAAGGATCTTTGATCTTAGTAGTGCCCGAAGCTATTAGCTATGCTGAAAAGACAAAGAGAAACGAGTCCAGAATCCGCTGTTAAGCAAAGAAGGTTGGAACAGAGGCTTCCCTCCTTACCAGTACATGGAAAAAGACCTATACTGAAGGCAGGACTGTCATGGACAGTCAAAGGAAAGGATGAAGGCGCCCAAGGGTCTTTCCTGTTTGACACCGGTTGTACAGGAGCAATCCTCAACCAGAGTTTTGTCAGGAAGCATGGAATTCCCTTAGTGCGGCGGGATCAACCTCTGACAATGTTTGATGCTCAAGGAGATGTCATGATGGGAGGAGGCGAGTATTACACTCACCCGGTCCGCATGATTATGGGAGATCATAAGGAGACACTCCGATGGGAAGTGGCTACTTTGGAAGAAGGAATGACCGGTTACCTGCCAATTAGTTGGGCTAGGAAGCATAACCCGGACATCAACTGGGAACTCAACACCATGAGCTGGAGAAGTGACTACTGTAAGCAGAATTGTCTCCCAGCGGCCACCAAGATTGAACTGATCTCTCCATACCAAATGTTGGAAGAAGAAGAGACAGTCTATCAATTGGTTGGTTCAGTATGGCATGATGAGGACGGAGGTGATATTGCTGAGAAAATACACCACCTATACCGGGATTGGGCTGATGTGTTCAGTCAAGAGAAGATTGAGGAAATGCCGCCGCATTCCCATAATGATTTAAAGATCAAACTCTTGCCTGGGACCGCTCCCCCATTTGGCCCACTGTACCCATGTTCCGCTCCAGAGTTGAAGGCCCTCCGAGAGTACCTGGACAAAGAATTGTCTTCAGGAAAGATCTCTAGATCTAATAGCCCTGCTGCGGCGCCCATACTGTTCATTCCTAAGAAGGATGGGACATTGCGAATTTGTGTGGACTACAGAGGATTGAACAAGGTCACTGTCAAGGACAAGTACCCGCTGCCTATCATGAGTGAGCTCAGAGACAGGTTGTTCAAGGCCAAGATCTTCACAAAGATAGACCTGAAGAACGGCTTCAATTTGATCAGGATAGCAGAAGGTGATGAGTGGAAAACCGCTTTCAGAACCCGCTATGGACTGTATCAGTATAATGTGATGCCATTTGGTCTATGCAATGCCCCCTCAGCCTTCCAGGCAATGATCAATGATGTGCTAAAGGAACTACTGGATGAAGGAGTGGTTGTCTACATCGACGACATCCTCATCTACTCGGAGACTGAGAAAGAGCATGAGCTACTGGTCAAGAAGGTATTACAGAAGCTTAGGGAAGCAAAGCTCTGTGCCTCGATCAATAAGACATCCTTCCATGTCCGAGAAGTAGAATACCTAGGCTATCACATCTCGGAAGAAGGAGTATCTATGTCAGAAGACAAGGTGGAGGCAGTTAAGGAATGGCCGGTCCCTGAGAATATCAAGGCAGTACAAGCATTCCTCGGATTTGCAAACTTCTATCGCCGCTTTATTGAAGGCTTCAGTAAAGTCTGCAAACCATTAACTGACCTCCTGCAAAAAGACAAGAAATGGTATTGGACGGCAGCACATGAGCAGGCCTTTGAAGAACTCAAGAGGCTGTTCACAAGCGCTCCAATCCTCCTTCATTTTGACCCTAGTAGGAGAACGGTGGTCGAGACAGATGCCAGTGATTTTGCCAAGGGAGCGGTGCTCTCTCAGTATGGGGATGATGGGAAGCTACATCCGGTGGCATTCTATTCTAAGAAGTTCTCCCCCGCCGAGATCAACTACGACATTCATGATAAGGAAATGGGAGCTATTGTAGCCTCTTTCCGGGAATGGGAA